TCAGTCATATACCGATCGAACACCCATCTGTCCACCAGTGCACATTCTCCACCACCAATGTCCCCAGTATATTCCCCCCCGCAACATCCCAGTTCTCCCCCTGCCTCCATGGCAGGCAATTTCCCCCCATACTCTCTCTCTACTTTTGGGCATTATGATTTGCTTGAAGTTTCCCAGAACCGTTCAAGCCTGCTCGTCAGGGGCAGACGGTAGATCATTTATTGTCCCTTGCTTATTTGGAATATCATGGGTGCCATGGCCTTGTGCTTCTGGAATCTAGATTGTAATGGTTGGGTTCCAGAGACATCTCTGTGGGGCACTAATCCATTTTTGGGATTCAGTTGGGCATCTCTGGACCAGGGCTGTTGGTGCGTTAAGATGGTGCCCGGAGGCCCATTGTGGGTGTGACAGCCATGGGGCCTTGCCTGTGGAAGCTCTTGGTCGCCGGGATTCCATCTGGAGTAGGCGGGGAGACTGCACCTGCTCCATCCGGGGTCCCCCCATGAAATTGGTCCAGTATGGGGCCCAGAGAGATCTCTGACGCAGTGGTGCCTTCTGGGACTCATTGCTTCCACATGCCTGCTTTAATGTTTTGTTTTGTTTTGTTTTTCCTTCCGAATGTTGGGTTATTGACGTTTGCTGTTGGGTTGTTTCGTTTTTAGGCCACACTCTACTCTGGGCTTCCTTCTGGCTCTGCCCTCAGGACTTGCTCCTGGTGGTGCTCAGGGGACTCTATGGGATACTGGGGATCAGACCTGGGTCGGCCACATGTGCTCCAACCCCATCATTGGCTTTTTTCTTTATTTTGGGTTATTCCAGTGATGCGCAGGGCTGACTCCTGGCTCTGTGCTCAGGGTTCATGCATGGCGAGCACAGGGGACCATATAGGATGCTGGGAATTGAACGGTCCACCACAAGGCAAGCATTGTTCCTGGTATGCTATCAATCCAGCCCCAGTTTGAGGGACGGTAGGTGTTTGTTTGGTTCTTGTGTTTTGAGTCACTCCGGGGTGACTCCTGGCTCTGCACTCAGGAATTACTCCTGGCAGTGCTTGGGGGACCATACGGGATGCCAGGGATCGAACCCGGGTCGGCCACGTGTAAGGCAGACACCCTCCCCACTGGTCTGTATCTCTGGCCCCCCACCTTCATGGTATGTTTCAGGTACAAGGCCCTTGTCACCCTCTCCCCATCGGGCAGGGTGACTTCCTTTCACTATCTTGAGAATGTCCTTGAAAGCTTTGAAGGTTATTTTTCGGGGAGGGGGGGTCACACCCGGCGATGCACAGGGGTTCCTCCTGGCTCTGCACTGAGGAATCACTCCTGGCGGTGCTCAGGGGACCATATGGGATGCTGGGAATCGAACCCAAGTTGGCCGCGTGCAAGGCAAACGCCCTACCCGCTGTGCTCTCTCTCCAGCCCCCAAAGCTTTGAAGGTTTTACGATGTGGTCATCCGATGGACCTATTTCTGATGGCGTGTGTTTTTCCCGTCCGAAAAAACCCTGCTCGAAACTGCAGTCACGAAGATTCGCACCCGTGTTTGCTTATCCTAGCTCTGATGCTTTGCTTGGAGGTTCCCACGCGTCTCTGGCCTACAGCTCTCCCTTTCCAGAAAAAACATTCCTCTCCCTACTTCCGCCCTCTGGAAGTCCCATGTTCTTTAAAGGTGACTCTTGGTGCAGCGGTTTGTGTCCGCCGGTGGCCCATGCCGGCAGGGACCTGTCACATGGACACCGTAGTCAGGGTGCCCGGAGCGTGGATGGCCCACCTGCGGAAGCGCTGACCTGGACCCTGGTCTGTTTTCTTGGTGGGGGGCCCACAGCCAGCGGCGGTGCTCAGGGCTGACTCCTGGCTCTGAGCTCAGGGATCACTCTAGGTGGGGTTCGTGGGTCAAGGGGTGAGGGTTGGGGACTCTTTGGGGTGTCGGGCTGGAATCCAGGTGAGCCGCGTGCCAGGCCAGCGCCCTCCATGCTGTGCTATGGCTCTGGTCCGTGTTGGGGACAGGGACTTACGCCCAGTGCGAGGTGGAGCCTGAATTCATTCTTCAGCGCATGGCTGTCCACTCGCCGCTGCTGTTGGCTGAGAAGCGCCCCTCCCCTGGCTCTCCGTGCCCCGGTGAGAACCCCAGGGGCCGCAGAACCCCAGGCAGGTCTGTTCTGGGCGCCCTTCCAGCCCCGCTGGTCGTCAGACCTGGCTATGCTCCAGGGGCCCACCAGCGGCTTCTGGCGTGCAGAGCCGCGCGTGGCTTCTCTGGCGTTCCCCCGTCTGCGTCTGTTCCGCAGGATTGCTTTGGCTGTCCGAGTTCCTGGCCTTTTTTGCATGGAAGTTTTAGGATGAGCTGATGGGGTTCCCAAAACTGGAAGGAAGGAAGCCGGGGTTTCGGTGGGAACTGTGAGGGACCCGAGGAGCAGCGAGAGGGGCTTTTAGGCCTGCATGGGAGGATGCCCCCCGACCCACGGGCGCCGTCTCTCTCTGTGCTCTCTCTCTGTGCTGGGCTCGGCCTTCCTTGCTTTTGTCATACTTGATAGTTTCCTGTGTTTGTGTGTGTGTTTTGTTTGTTTTTTTTTGTTTGTTTGGGGTCACACCCGGCAATGCTCGGGGCTTACTCCTGGTCTTGCACTCAGGAATCACTCCTGGCAGTGTTCAAGGGACCATATGGGATGCCGCTTCAGTTTATGGGGTGTTTTTTTCCTTTTTTTTCAAGTTGATTCTGAGTGCTGTGCTTTTTTTGGATGTAAGTGACAATTTCTCTTTCATTTTGCATTCAGATTGCTCATAGCCTTGGGTACAGAAATACATTCTCTGCTTCGTTTGGGGGCTCTCACCAGCTGTGCTCGGGCTTCCTCCTGGCTCTGCACTCAACGGTCACTCCCGGTGGGCCAGGGGGACCGTATGGAATGCCGGACATAGAACCAGGACCCAGCCTCCCCTCTCTCCAGCCCCTGAAATCCACAGTATATTGGGGCTGGAGAGATAGCACAGTGGGTAGGGCATTTGCCTTGCATGCAGCCAACCCGGGTTCAATTCCCAGCATCCCATGAGTACCGCCAGGAGTAACTCCTGAGTGCAGAGCCAGGAATAACCCCTGTGCATCACCAGGTGTGACCCAAAAAGCAAAAAAAAAAAAAAAAAAAAGAAAGAAAAATCCACCGTATATTGGTCTCAGTCCCTGCAGTCTTGCTGAGCTTATTCTGTGGCGCTGAGGGCTTTGGGGTGTCACGTGCGGACCCTTTGTTGTTTGCTCAGCATGGTCCCGTCTTCTTGTCTGACTAGCTAGACCCTGGCTCTGTGGCAGTGCATGCAGGAACCCCCCCATACACACCCTGCCTGTCTGTGAGGGGACCCCCCACACAGCCCTCCTGTCTGTCTGTCATACTCCACCTATTGGTCTATGAGGGGACCTCCCCCATACAACCCACCTGTCTTTTTGTGGTCTCAGGGGCCAGTGCCCCTTGCCCAGATTGTGTGGGTGCCCGCAGGAGTCTGGGACTCCGTGTCCCCGCTTCAGTCTCCTCACACGTGTCCATAACCAAACAGGGTTGGTGTCTGTCCACTGTGGGTGGGGGGTCATGTATGGTCCTTGCCCTTGATCCTGACCCTTGCTCTGCAAGGGACACTGAGGTCAGGAGCAGTGGCTCAGGGGCCAGAGAGGGCCCGGTGGGCTGGAGTGGGTGGTTCCCTGAGCACTGCCAGGAGAGCCCCTTGAGCACTGAGCCAGGAGTGGTCTCCGAGCATGGCTGGTGTGGCAACCTGAGCCCGGCCTCGGTGCTGGCTGTCAGGACGTCTCTAGGGCACAGGGCCTGCCGTCCTCTGTGGCCCTGGCGCTGCCGGGTGTTGGGGGGGGTCTCCCCTCCCACCCCAGGGCGCTGTCTTGAGAGGCTCTTACCAAGTTAGCCAGCGAAAGGTCGACAGGCCTGGTGGGCAGCGATGTGCCCATCTGAAGGCCAGAGAGGGAGGCCGGGCTCAGCTACCACACTCACCTGGTTTTCCTGCCCAGCCTGTGTTCTGGCTCTGACCATCATGTGACCTTGAAGTGGCCCTGGTTTGGGCTTCTGTCCCTGGGGTGGGGCCGGCCCCCGAGGATTCAGGGCGGCGATGGGCACCTCCGACCTCTGACTGCTGATCTCTGTCCGCACAGATGCGTCCCTCCCTCTTGGGCCCCCGAGTGTCCCTGCCCCAGCCGGGCGTCTGTTCAGAGCCCTGGGCCAGCGGAGGGCATGGGGTGGGGCGGGGTGTTGAGCCCCTCGTGGATTCTGGCAGCGTCCACGGGAGCTCCATGAGCGTGGGGCTGGGCGGCCCGTGCTCAGGCTCCTGAACAGACCCTGCGCCTGTCGATTTGGAATGGGGCTTCCGGGCCGGTGGAGGCCCGCGCTAGGGCCTTCCACCTCCCAGGGGGCTGGAAAGAAGTGTGGCTAGCTGGCACCCCCCAGGCAGCCAGGCAGAAAGGCATCCAGCCTCCTGGCTGAGGGTCCACGCTTGGGGGAGGGGGGTCCTGGCCCCCGGACATCCTCCCCACACCTCAGGGGTGGCGCTTGAGCTGGTCGGAAAACTAGAAGCTTCTGCGGCAGAAGGGAGGGTGCGTGGAGCTGGGGGAGGGGCGAGGAGGGGGCGGCCTGGCGGGGCCAGGGGGAGCCCGGGACAGGGCTCTGTAACCATGGGCATGACCCGAGTGTCCAGCCCCGCTTCCTCCTCCCCTGTGGATGGGGCAGCTCTCAATGGGCCACATTGTTGGGAGATTATTGCTAAGCCCACACGCATGGCGCAGGGTGGAAGGAGGCGGCTGAGCTGGAAAAAAATGTTCCCGGTCAGGAGAGGGGACAGTCGGGGTCGCACGCCAGGACTGTCCAGGCTGGCGATCCTGGCGCCCACGTCGCGGCCCCCGGGACGCAGGGCTTGGACACGGCAGCCGGGAGAGAGAGAGAGAGTGCTTGGTGGGGGGGGGGTCAATGGGCCGGCTTGGGGCAGGCCCCTGTGACGCCTCCTGTCCTGTCCCCCTGCAGACGACAGGATCTGTTCCCCGCCCTTCATGGAGCTGACCAGCCTGAGCGGCGAGGACACCCTGCGGCTTCTGCAGAGCAACGGCCTGGACTTCCCCTTCAGTGCGTGCCCCCGCCCGGGAGGGTGGGGGACCAGGAGGGGGGGCGGCGGTGGTGCCCAGCCAGTCCTCCCTCCCCTCCTCCCCTTCCCCGCGCCCGCTGACCCTCTTGCTTCTCTCCTCGCCCCTAGTTTGCAAAACCCGCGTGGCGCATGGCACCAACTCGCATGAGGTGAGTGGGAGGTATGACAGTCCCTGGGGGCGGGTCCCCTGGCCTGGGTCCCTCAGCCCTCAGCGGGATGGCTGAGCCCCCCCCCCCAAAAGCCTGTGTGGGTCCGACTGGGGGGCTGAGTGCAGGAGGGAACAGGCAGGGATGGGAAGGACGGGGGTAGGTGGGAGGGGCAGGAGGCTTAACTACAGATCCCAGATGTGAGGGGGCCCCCTGAGGGAGACGCAGCTTTGGGGGGTCTTTGGGAGGGAGGGTGCAGGTGCCAGGCCCCCACTGGGCCTCTGTAAGCTGACGTGCCTCCTGGAACCACACTCAGACCCGTAGAGATGCGGCAGCAGGTGCTGGAGATGTGGTCCCCAGAGCACCCCGCAGGGAGACCCCAGTCCCCAGCACCCCGTGGGGGTCCCCAAGGGGAGACGTCCACACCCAGTGCCCCGTGGGAATCCCCAAGATCGTCTGCACCCCCCCCACACACGGTCCGAGCAAACGTCACACGGATGGCTCAGTTGGGGAGAGGTCCTTGTTCTGAAGAGGAGGCAAAGGGGAGCTCCCCTGGAGGTGAGGGACCCCAGACGTAGCACCCCAGGGTGCCCTCTGAGCCTGGCTAGGCCCCGCAAGCTCCCCTCACTGATGCCAGCCGCCCTGGCCCTGTGGACGGCCGAGTCCTCACCCAGACAGTGGGCAAACAGCCCCGTGTTCCGTGTCTTCCTCCTTCGGGGGCCACGACTCCCCCTCAGGACCCTCCCTGGGCCAGGAGGGACCGCGCCCTGCTCCACCCCAGCACAGGTGGGCGCTGTAGCTTGTCCACCCAGATGTGTGGGTGCAAGTTCGGGGCGACTGCAAGGGACCCGCATTGTTGTGCCCTTTCTGATTCTTGGCACCCCTGAGTCAGAAACCCAGAGCGCCCTCAGAGCCCACAGGGACCTCCCGCACTGCGGCAGTCACCGCTGCTGTTTCACAGGGGAGAAGTTTCTCCACACTTTCATAGAACGTAAGCGGCTTTAACTGCCCCGTCCTCACGTCAGGGGGCCCAGGAGACCGGTGTGGGGGCCCACTAGGGCACACGCATGCACGTTGGCATGGAGGCCCTCCTCCCGCGGTGGCCTCCTGGCTCTGGGTGGCCACTGCCCCGGCCTGTCCTCCCCACACAGCCCCTGTGGCCCCAGCCCTGGGCAAACTGGCCTCAGCCAGAGTGCAGGGGTCTCCTCCACCCTCTGCGCCCCGTCCCGGCGGGGCCCTGCGTCCCCAGGGGTGTCGGCTGGGGGTGCCAGTTCCCTGGTCTTGACTGAAGATGACCTGCGATAGTGTAGGCGGGTGGACCCGTCCCCCTGCCCTGCGCTCTGTCCCTTCCCAGAGGCCGTGAGCAATCTGGCTTCCTCAGTTCTCAAAAGGACGTGGGGTTAGTTCCAGGGACACGGGGACACCAGGTGACCCACTGAAGTGCCTGGGAGTGGGCCCTGTGCAAGCGTTTATCACAAGACAATCTTGGGTCCGAGCCGTAGCGTATCGGAAGGGCGTCCGCCTCGCAGGTGGCCAGCCCAGATTCCGTCCCCCGCGTCCCCTAGGGTCCCCCGAGCAGAGCCAGGAGTGAGCCCTGAGCACTACCGGCTCTGGCCCCCCAACAAAATGTCGAGAGTGGGTTGTGCAGTGCGCTACCTGCCCGGCCACACGTGGCGGGCCGAGAGGGCGAGACTGTGGGAATAGGTGGTTCTCAGGAGTTCTTCACGCTGTCCCCTGGGCTGGACTCCCCGGACGGCGGATGGCGGGTTGGGCGCTGCTGCCTCGCCCCGGGCCTGCCCTGACGGCCTGCGCCTGTCCCCGCAGATGGCCATCGTCTTCAACCAGGAGGGCCTGAAGGCCATCCAGCCGCCCTGCGTGGTGCAGAACTTCATCAACCACAACGCCGTCCTGTACAAGGTGTTCGTGGTCGGCGAGTCCTACACCGTGGTCCAGCGGCCCTCGCTCAAGAACTTCTCAGCGGGCACGTCAGGTAACTGCCCCGTGCCCCAGAACTCATGGGGGGGTTGGGGGGGCGCTCCCCGGGAGAGAGCACTGTCGGGGGTGTGCCTGGCCTGGGGAGCGGCCACCGGCCTGGCGCTGCGGCTCAGGAACCTGCGAGCCGCGCCCCGGAGTTCAGCGGCCTCCCTGGGCACTGGGGCCACCTGACAAATGTCACCTGGCTGGGATGCCACGGTGGGCAGCAAGGGAGAGCGAGGCCTGGGCTTGGCTCGTTCTCTCGTGCTCTGCGTGGGGAAGGGGCCTGGCCTCCCAGCAGGCTGCGCATCTCAGTGGCTTGGAACCCCCCCACCTCCCCGACCCTGCCAGTCCTGGACCGTGTCAGGAGTAGGTGTCGCATATATGCAGGCTCCTGCCGTGGCTCGGTGGCTGGTTCCTGCCGTGGCTCGGGGTCAATGGGCAGATTTCTACCGTGGCTCTGGGTCAGTGGCAGGTTCCCACCTTGACTCAGGATTAGTGGCTGGTTTCCACCGTGGCTCGGGGTCAGTGGCTGGTTCCTGCCAGGGCTCGGGGTCAGTGGCTGGTTCCTGCCAGGGCTCGGGGTCAGTGGCTGGTTCCTGCTGGGGCTCAGGGTCAGTGGCAGGCTCCCGCCGTGGTGCAGGTGGCGCTCACTGCTGTTGTGCGGCGCATCTGAGGGAGTCCCCTGCGGGGGTGGGCTCACCTCCAGGGCTTGGGCTTCTCCACAGCTGTCCCCAGGGTCTCCTGACCCGTCTCCAGTGTAGATGGGGTTGCTGGGGGTGGGGCCACCCCCGAGTGCTGGTGGCTCTGGAGGATCCGTAAAGCACATCCCGGCCACCTTGGCCACACTGGCAGCATCTTTGGACTCAACGGGATTTTCTTGGGGTGGGGGTCGGTCCCTCGGAGGGCTGGGGTGCCCTTGTGGTGCCCTCGGGGGTGACACCATCACCCTCACGGGCACATGAGCGCTCCGCTGCTTTGGTAGAATGTGTTTATTTGTAGGGGGCTCCCACGCAGAACTCAGGGGTCCTGGGGGCCAGCCAGCTGGAGTAGACCAGACTGGACAGTGCTAGACCTGCTGTAGCCAGGGCCCTGGCGCCTGCGTCCACACATCTGCTCACGCCTGAGCTTTGCTCTACCCGGGTCCCAGATGTGTCTCGGGGGCCGGTCTTGCCACCCCTCCTCCCCGGGGGGGACAGCCGCCGGGCGCCCCTCTGCTCCCTGCAGGCCTCCCCTGCAGCCTGGGCTCCAGGCCTGAGACGGTTTGTAGGGTCCTGGCTGTGCCAATCCCCACCCACTGAAATTCTGGGGTGACCCACGGGGTCGGGGTCTCTGAGAGGCTGGTATTTGTTTCGACGAACACACGGTTTAAAGTTACGGTGCGGGGAGGGCTGGAGTGGTAACACAGTGTCTAGTATGAGGCTGACCTGGGTTCAGTGTCCGGCACCCCGTGTGAACCCCGAGACCTGCTGGGTGTGGCCCCAAACAGACAAAAAAAAGCCCGGGAGGCACGTTGACAGCAGCCACTGCTTCCAAGACCCTCCCAAAGGCTCCTGCGGGCCACGGCCCCTTGGTTGCACCTGGAGGGCGCCCACTCACCTCCGAGGCTACTGCCGGCGCAGTGCCCGCCACCCTCCACCTGGGCTCTGTAGCCTGAGCGTGGTCCCCCGCCAGGTGGCCACTGTCCCCATGCAGATGGACCCGGAGAGTTGAGTGGATTGAAGGGAGACGCCTTTCGCTCGCCCCACCCCTCCCTTCCCCTGCCCACAACTTGCTCTGGGCCTGCTGCCTGACCCGGGAGTTCCGGGTCCCGGAAGGTCCCTCGTGCCTGCATGGGCCCACGTCGCCAGGCCATGCTCCTTCCAGGGCATGGGTGCCCGCCACCAAGGGCCTGGCAGTGTCGGGGTGCTCTCCAGTCCCAGCCCAGCTTCCCCGTCAGGAAGAATGAGGGCTCCCTGGGCTGGGGTGCAGCCGAGGGTGCTCGGGGCCAGCCGCTTTCCCAGGTTGGAGCTGGGGGCCCCCGGGGGCACCCTCTGGGCATTGGGTGTCTTTGCTCTGTGCACACAGCGACCCCTGAGAACCCCCCACCCTAGCCTCTCCCCGGGGGGACAGAGGAGGGCGCCCCTTGACGCACCCCTGGGAAGCCCCGACTCATGGGTCTCCAGCTCTGCTGGGACGAGTGTTCCTGTTGCCGGTCCCGCGGCCAGGAGAGAGAGAGAGCCCCAGGAGCTGATCCTCGGGGTGGCCCTGGACAAGATGCCTGTGGGGTCTGAGCACACCCCTGCCCGGGAAACGGAGGAGCATGAGGCCGTGTCCGTGCCTGGGGGCCGTGCTGGCCCTAGCATTCTCTCTGCCCGTGGCATCTTCTCTGAGCTGGGCGCAGACACCCCCGTATCCTGGGGTGGCCTTGGGGTCTTCCCCAGGGACCTGCTGCGGGACTGATCAGGGAGCTGAGCAGGGGGACCCCCAGGGCCGGGACGCTGCAGTGAGAGACGGGGACGGGCCACCCGGGAGCTGCCCGCGGCCTGCGGGCTCCCAGGAGGGGCTGCACCCCTACTCAGGGGGAGGGGGCCCCCTCGGTCCGCATGTGGGCGACAGGGAGCATCCAGTTCAAAGAGCACAGCCATGCAGCAACCATCCCAGCAGCAGGTCGAGCCCCCCGGCCCCCGCCCCTACCTCCCCAGATACCCCCCACCCCCCAAGGCTCGCTCACTCTTTGCTGCCAGCGCCTGGAGCCGAGGCGGTTCCTGCACAGTGTTTATTCTCCCCAGGCTCCCCCCCGGGACCGTCTCCGGTGCCCCCAGTCTGGACTGGCTCTGGTCGGAGCAGCGGGAGGACAGCCGGGCAGCACGGGGCGGCCAGGGGCCTGCGTGCCCCGCTGGCGGGAAGGACGCCAGGTACCACTGCGCCCGCCACTGGGCACCCCCCAATCATGTCTGCCCGCGGGACTGTGGCGGTGCTGCCCCCAGAAAGGCTGATTTTCCCCCTTCCCCCTCCCCCCGTGGTGCGGGGCCTCTTGGGGTGCACTCTTGGGCCTCTTGGGGAGCCCTTGTGGGGGGGCCGGGGGTGGTGGGAGACACAGTCCGGCCCTGGAGCCTGTGTTCCCTCCCGGCTGACCCACCACTGACCTCAGTCTGTCCCCAGAGACTTGCCGCTCGGGACCCACAGAGACTCTACTGGTCATCACTGTTGTTCTGGGGATGCCCACCCCTCTGGGTCTGAGGCCGTGGCCCTGGGGGACATCTGGGGAATACAGGGCAGCATCCGAAGCCTGTGTGAAGTCTCTGCCAACACGAACACAGCCTGCAGAAACCTGTGTTCCACTCTTCTGCCCCTCACTCCGCACCCTGCCCGGGGGTCAGGAAACTGCACCGAGTCCGGCAGAACCCCCATCCTGTACACTGCACCAAGCCTGGCTGAGCCCCCATCTTGTGCACTGCACCGAGCCCGGCTGAGCCCCCATCTTGTGCACTGCACCGAGCCCGGCAGAGCCCCCATCTTGTGCACTGCACTGAGCCCGGCTGAGCCCCCATCTTGTGCACTGCACCGAGCCCGGCACAGCCCCCTATCTTGTGCACTGCCCGGAGCCCGGCTGAGCCCCTGGCCCACACGCTGCACTGAGTCCAGCTGAGCCCTTGCCCGCTCTTAAGTGCCCCCCTGGGAAAGGGCCGCCGGGCTGGGATGTCATTGCAGTGGCATTTCCTGGGCCTCGGTGCCCTGGGCCTGTGCTGGGTGGGTTCTGCTTCGTCAGGAAGACTCACTTTGGGGGACGGGGCTGTTGAGGAAATTCAGTGCCGGCTCTCTGCCGTGGTGGTGGTGAAGAGTGAGTGGCTGGGGGCCAGGTGGGCCCCTGAAGCGATGATGGTTGTCACCCTGGGGGAGATGCTGACACAGGAGCCCTGGCCGGACACACATCCATCCAGGTTGTACCGGCCTAGTGTCCGGCTCCCCAGGGGGTAGCCCCGCCCCCGCAACCTGTCCCAGGCCGTCCTGGCCCCAGGGGCTGAGTCTGGGGTGGTGCTGCCCCCTGCTGTCGGGTGGCGGGACTGCCCCGGCTCAACCTCGTGCTTCGTTGCTTTTCCAGACCGCGAGTCCATCTTCTTCAACAGCCACAACGTGTCCAAGCCCGAGTCCTCCTCCGTCCTGACCGCGGTATGTTCCCTGCGGGCGCGGCCCCACTGGACGCAGGGGCAGGGGTGTGGGCAGTGGGCAGGAGAGAGTCAGGATCGCCAGCACGGGGGTCTCCGGACCTGCTTTCTCTGAGACTCCTGCTTGGCTAAGGGGAGGGGCTGGGGCTGGGCTGGACACCCCCAGGGTCCTGCCCGCGGGTCGCACCTCTGCTTGCCTCAAACTCGTCTGGGGGAGTCCAGCAGGCAGGACGTGCCCCCTGCATGTCCCGACACCTCTCCGCCCTCTCTGGTCATTGAGACGGTGCCGGGTCAGCCTGCAGAATGCCGGGGCCCTGCCTTCTGTCTCTCTGTCCACGTTTGCCGTCGGCTCGGAGGGCTTCCCAGGGACCCCGGTTGGGCAGCACCCGGACATGGCTGCCTGGTCACTCCGGCCTCAGGACACGTGTTGGGCCCAGCCCCCGCCCCCCTGCCGACCTCCAGGCCAGGAGCACTGGCAGAGCATGTGGGTGCCGGTGGGCCTGCCTGAGCTCGCCCCAGCTCCTTCCTGCTCCCGCCACCACTGCTGTCTCAGTTTCTCCGACCTGTCCTCACACTGCAGCGGCGCCCACCGGGCCCTCCTCCCTCCCCCGCCACTGGCCGAGGCTGCTGACTGGTGTTTGACCTCGGTGGTCAGGAGGCCCAGGCCTCTGTCCAGTTCTGGGATGGCTCTTTTGTTTCTGATTTCGCTCTGAGTGAAAAGGCAAGATTGGGGGCTGGAGGGAGAGCACAGCAGGGAGGGCATTTGCCTTGCATGCGGCTGACCCGGGTTCGATTCCCAGCATCCCATATGGTCCCCCAAGCACTGCCAGGAGTCATTCCTGAGTGCGTGAGCCAGGAGTCACCCCTGTGCATCGCTGGGTGTCACCCAAAAAGCCAAAAAAAAAGGCCAAGATTGCCTGGGGTGAGGCGGGCTGGGGTGGGGGCAGCTTTGGGGTGCCCGGGTGCGATGCCTCTGTGCCCAGAGGCTGTGGCGTGGGGTGTGTTGGGCCCCGCCGCTGTTTGGGGCGAGCTGCTTCTCGGCCCCCGGTCTTTAGACCAGACACAGCCCAAGCCCCGCTTCAGCTTGCTGCCATCCAGGGCCTCCGCCGGGCCAGCACAGAACCGCTTTCTGTCTGGCGCCTGGCCAACGCCAGCCTGAGAGCAGACAGGAAGGTGGGCTGCGGAGGGCTCGTCTCTAAGGGCTGCTTGGCTCCCGAGGAGGCTATGTCCCCCCGAAGGGCCTTGGGGGGGGGTTCCCGGGCTCCCTTGCAGAGCCGAGAAGGGGCGTTGGGGAGGCGAAGGCCTGATCCCCCCCCCCCCCCCCCAAAGCCCGTGTGCCTATCTAGCCTGTAACTCAGCGCCTCCAGACGGGGTGAACCAGACTGGCTGGGCTGCCCGGCCACAGGTCACCGGGAGGGCTGCTGGCTGCCCACCCTCAGCAGCTCCGGCCATGGGGCGCGATGGCCACCCCCCTGGCCCTGGCCTCACGCACCCCCCCCACCCCGTGTCCCACAGCTGGACAAGATCGAGGGCGTGTTCGAGCGGCCAAGTGACGAGGTCATCCGGGAGCTGTCCCGGGCGCTGCGGCAGGCGCTGGGCGTGTCGCTCTTTGGCATCGACATCATCATCAACAACCAAACTGGCCAGCACGCGGTCATCGACGTCAACGCCTTCCCAGGTGGGTGGGGCTTCCCCCGTGGGCGGGGCTCTCTGTGGCCACGCCCCCTCCTTGTTGCCCTCTTCCCCCCCCCCCCCCACCTGTCTTTCCCTCGCTTCCACCCCTACTTTTCTTCGTCGTAACTTACCCCCAGCCCCTGGCCCCTGGACCAGCCCGGGAGTCCCACACTGACCAGCTGCCTTAGCCCCACCAGTTGGATCTGGTCCTCCTGCCCTGAGGGTCCCCAGGCTGCAGCATATTGGTTCTATCTCCTCCCTCCCGCCCCGTGAGGTGCCTGCTGTGAGCCCCAGCCAGGGGAGCCTGGCGGCCTGCCCCACGGGCATCGCTCCTCCCCACTGCTGGGCCCTGCCCCTGCACCCGCTGCTGTGGGCCCAGGGGGCTGAGCAGAGACCCTCCCCCCTCCACCTCTCCACAGGCGGGCTGGAGGTCCCTGAAGCCCGGGTGGGAGGTGCCGCCCAGTCCCTGCTCAGCGGCCCTGGAAACAGCGTCGCCTGCTCCCTCGGGGCCTCCCCAGGGCACTCTGTTCTCGGGAGAGGCATGCCTGGCGTATGTGGGCGCAGGGTGGGGCGTGTTTGCCAGGTCACACGGGGGGGGGGGGGGGAGGTGTGCGGGAAGGACCCTCCCCTCCCCCCACTCCTCAGGGGACCTGAGTCAGGCCCAGGTGTGCACTTCACAGCCAGGACAGGGCACCTGGGGGCCTGTTCCAGGAGGCAGAGCGTAGGGTGGGGGCGGGGGGAGTGGGGGCCCCTGCACCTCTTGGCGCCTCCCTGAACCCAGTATACTGAGGGGGGTGCCCTGTGATGAGCCTGCTGGCAGAGTCTAGAGAGGGAGGCGCGAGGCCCGGCATGCTCTGCCCACTTGGCTGGGGTGACCTTGGCCCTAGGCTCGAAGACAAGCTGATCCGCAAGGCCAGCTCTGTCCTGGAGCCTCCCTCTGACCCCCAGGCCTGTCCCTGAGCCTCCCTGTGACCCCCCCCCCCCAGGCCTGTCTCAGAGCCTCACTTGACACCCCACTGACTGCATCGCTGCACTCGGGTCTCTGCGCGTCTCTGTGCAGTCGGGGCCTGCAGGGTGCCTGCCTCGCTCCTGCGGGCTCAGATCCTGGCTGGGCCTGTGGAACCTTGGAGTCCGAGCCTCGTGTCTCCACCGCCCTTATGTGGCCGCAGCTTGTCCCACAGAATGGGGCGTGCTCACCTGCATGGCCCTCACCCCCGTGCCACCCAGGGGTGGGCACGGCCTCGGTCTCTGTGATGCCCCTGCAGTGCCTTAGGCGGTGGGCCTCTCAGGGTGCCGACCCCAGCCCCCACCCACCCGGGAGTGCCCCGTCCTCCCCACTCTACGAGGCTCCCTGCGGGGCAGCCCCTCTCATCCCTCTGCCGGCCTTTCAGCCGTGTCGGGGCTCAGCACAGAAGTGGGGGCGAGAGGCAGTGTGTTCTGCCTGCTGGGGCAGGGGCTCTCCTCTCGAGGGTGCCTTGCCCCCACACCCAGGGCGGGGCAGAACCCCACCTCCACACCCTTATGTGGTGGGCCTCTGCCCTCACGGCAGATGTCCCCGGAACTGTGACCTGCCTTCCCCCCCCACTCCCCTGGTCCTGGGGGTTCGGGTTGCTTGGGGGAGCCAGCGGCGTGCGGGGGGCGGGGGGGAGGGGCCGGGAGCCGTGCCACGTGACTGCCTAGTCAGGGTGACCGGTGGAGGGGAGGCGGGCATGAGATCGACCCCCACCCGGCTGAGCGCGCCCCCCTCCCCTTTGCTCCGTCTCCCCCGCAGGCTACGAGGGCGTGAGCGAGTTCTTCACGGACCTCCTGAACCACATCGCCACCGTCCTGCAGGACCCGAGTGCCGGGCAGGCCGCCGCGGGGGACAGGCTCAGCCGGCTCCCGGCCGAGCAGGTGGGCAGCCCCGCGGCCCGAGCGGACGCGCAGCGCCAGCCCCAGCTGCAGGACGGGCCCGGAGCCGCCCTGGACGGCCGAGGCGGATGCGGGCGGCGCGGCCAAGCTGCCGCACCAGAGACTGGGCTGCACCGCCGCCGTGTCGCCCAGCTTCCAGCACTGCGTGGCCTCGCTGGCCACCAAGGCCTCGTCCCAGTAGCCACCACAGAGCGCGCCCAGGACCCAGGGGACGACACGAGGGGTTGGGGAGGGGGCCATGCCGCCCCACCCCACGCTGGCCCTGAGGATTCCCGATGATCTGATTCTTCTCTCTCTGTTTTAACGTTTAACCTGACTCTGATGTCGTGATCTCAGTGGGGAGAGGGGCCGGCTGGTGGCAGGGAGGGGCGCCGGGCGGGCCCTTGGCCCCGGGTTCTGTGGGCACGAGTGCAGGGCGGCCCCCCCCCCCCCCACGCACACACGCGCCCCTTGTCTGTCTCTGTGACTGTTGCGGTCCGATCCTGGGGGAACCCCAGAGGAGGGGACCCCCGCGGAGGAGGTCTGACCTCAGGCCGCGCTGACACCCGCGGCTCAGGGGATCCCTCCTGGGCACGTCGCGGGCGCCTCTCAGGGGTCCATACCCATCCTGGACCAGGGCTGCCCGTCTTGAGAGGGAAGGATGAGGGTCTCCACCTCTGGCTTCCCTACTTGGGGCCCCCCCCCTCCCTGCAGGAACCAGCACTCCTGCCGGGCCCTGGGACCCGGGGCTGATCCCGCCCGTGCCGTGAGGCTGAGCTGAGACCGAGGGCGAGTTCGGAGACGGGAGGCACCAAGATCTGGGAAGGGCGGGAGTGATGCCCCCAGCCTTGCCGGGGCCCCTTCCCCCGATCCGTCCCCCCGCGTCCCGGTGAAACGGTTCCTCTTCTGGGTGGGGGGCGGGCGGCCCGTCCACCATCACGCCTCTCACACCGGCTGGCCCCCTCACCTGCAGCACCCCCCCAGCCCTCCCAGCGCCCCCGGGTAGCGGTGGGCTCCCGACCTGTTTGTCAGGTCGCACCACCCGCACTGGCCGGCGGCCCCTTGGCAGAGATGGAGGTGTCAGGCGCGGCCCACGCCAGACAGCGTGGACGCTCGGGGAGGTGGCCCAGGCCTGGGCTTGGGGGGCCTCGGGGGCTCATTCCTTTCGGGGGGGAGGGGGTCCTGCACCCAGGAGGACAGGAGGGGAGAGACTGTGGACTGGCCACTCGGGGGTCTTGCTCCGCCGCCACCGTGGGGGCGGGGGGAAGGCCCGGCGGGGGGACTGGCCGGCTCACTGCGTTGGCACAGCCTGAGCACGGACGCTCCCCCGTCCCCTTCCCGCTCGCTCCCGAGCCCCCGGGGGGCCCCTTGCACTGCTTCGCCTCCAAAATAAACTACTGAAATCAAACAGCACCTGACAAGCGTCCCGGAATGTTCTGGATTCCCGCCGAGTCTCGCGGAGAAGACGACGGCTGAGGCCGGGGAGAGAGTGCAGGGGGCACCCCTGGCACCCTTAGGTCCCCCGGTCCTTGAGGGACACTGGGTGTAGCCCCAGGCCCCTTCTCTGCACAGGTGAGGCACTGTGTACCCCCCCCCCCCCCACCACACACACACACATCCCCGGCCGTGTCCCTGTGACTCCTGCCACCACCAGGTCCAGACCAGGTGCCCTGTGACTGTTCCCTGCGGGCCCCACCTGGCCATAAGCACAGGAAGGCGGGAAGGGGCCCAGCAGCACCCCAGGGCCCCTCCTGGCCACTCCTCCCACCGCGGGGTCCAGAAGTGTGGTTGAGAGCAACTCTGTGGGCAGAGAGGCAAGATCCTGTCAGCAGCTGGCCTGTGAGGACCCCACATGCCACTCCCCCCCCCACACACACACACTTTTCTGGCCATTTTCCACGGGTTTGGGTATCAAAAAGGGCATCTGAGTCTTCAAGCCCAAGCTGTGCTGGTGCTGGGCTTCTAGAACCTTCCTTGGGGAGGGGACTGCAGAGGTGTGCATGGGGGTGCCCAGAGTAAGGACCCTTCTGAGTGGGGGGGGGGGGTGTCAGAGGTCGGTTCAGAATCCTGCCTTGGAGCCTGAGCCAGCTACCCCACAGTGCTGAGCCCCACCTGGGGCCCACAGGAGACCCAGCCTTGCTGGCGGGAGACACCCAGGGGCTGTTCCTAAGGCCTGTCAGTGGCTAAAGTAGTTTTAATTTTACAGCCAAGGACCCTGGAGCGTGCCTTCCTACCGAGGACGGTTCTGGAAGGCCGGGGCCCTGCAGCTGGAAGCCAAGTGTGCGGGTGTGTGGTGTCCTGGGTGGCGTGGGGCACTGGGGCATTTGTGCTGGCCGCTGGTGTCTCTGAAATCCTGAGCTTCCAACCTGCCTCTCCCGGTGCCCCCTATCCCCCACCCCTCCGGGGCTGTAGCTGGATAGCCCCCAAGCTCCATTTCATGTGCAGGCTGGCCCACCCCTGGGGAAAATCACTGGGGGTCCCAGAATCTGTGAGCTGGTGGCGCTGTGAGGCCTCCCCAGAGGCTCTTTGTGGACACACGTGGCCCCAGACACTCCTTCCACGGGCAACTGTGGGCCCGCCCCTGCTGACCCTGGGCCCTCTTGAGCACCCAGGACCCCTTCCAGAACCCCAGCCCCACCCACCGTCCTTGGGTGCACACATGCCAGGGAGCCTGCAGGGCCAGCCCTGCCTAGCCCCCGGGGAGAGGACCTCTCCCCCCCCACCTTGCCCCATGAGCCGCCACACTCCAGGGCAGTTGACAGCCCGTGTGGTGGCGTCCCCACGGCCGTCCTGCTGGGGAGTTGCGTTGCCCGGTGGGGCCTGACCGTGCACAGTTGCTGCTGGGATGCCCGGAATCTTTGTCCTCACCGTGTGACTCGGCATGCTCACACTCACCCTCTGGGGGCTCATTTCCAGCCCAGGGGTCCCAGGGCCCCCCAACTGCTGACTCCCCGAGAACCCAGAGGGGCGAGGCTGGGGGACACTCAGGAGACGCCTCCCCACCAAGCGTGGCGTCAGACCTGCCCTGGAGCCTCTGCCTGCCTCCAGGAGGCCCAGGTGTGCTCCGAGGCCCCTCTTAGCAACCATGTGGTGTCTCTGCGGGTCACCAGGCCGTGAATAGGAAGGGGGGTTTGGGTTGGCTTTGGGGACTCACTCCTGGCTCTGCACACAGGAATCACCCACTGGTGGTGCTCCGGGAAATCAGGGATGCCAGGGCCTCCGAGGGCCGCCTGCAAGTGCCCTTCCCGCTGTGCTCGCACTCTGGCCCCAGGAGGGAGGTGGTTTTAGCTTCTTTTGTTTTTTTTTTTTTGCTTTTTGGGTCACTCCTGGCGATGCACAGGGGTTACTCCTGGCTCTGCACTCAGGAATTACTCCTGACAGTGCTCAGGGGACCATATGGGATGCTGGGAATCGAACCCGGGTTGGCCGTGTGCAAGGCAAATGTCCTCCCTGCTGTGCTATCACTCCAGCCCGTCCTCATTTTGTATGTGAGGAAATGGAGGTTTGGAGCCTGCCTGGGCTCTCCTGTGGGGACAGGGAGGCTCCCCTCATGGCGAACGCCACACTAGTGAGGCAATGATGAGGGGGAGGGATCGTGAGGGGTGAGTGTTTGTGTGTTGTTTGGAGGGGTGTATGTAGGTGTATGTGTGAGTGTGAGTGTGGGTGGGTGTTTGGGCGTCCAGAAGTGTGTGTACAACCATCCTGCCCATCTGCCAGCATCACAATCCCCATCCTGAGCCTGTCTCCACCCCCCTCGGGCGCACCGGAAGGTCGGGTATCCCCCCTGCTTCGGACTTGGATGGGTCTTCTCATCTTCAGAGAAGTGTCTGCGTGCCAGTGTCCCCTCCACATCCTCAGCCCGACCGGCCCCCAACTGTCCCCCCGTCCCATGAGGGCACTTGGGAGGAAGAGGGGAGCCCCTGGAGTAGGCTATTACACACACACACACTGAAGCCCCCCGTCTCCGACGCAGATGCCCCCGCCAGTGGTGAGACAGCATGGAGCCCGGAGCAGGTTTATTCCTCCTGACGGAGTTTGCACACGGGTCTGCTGGGCGCCCGCACGCTCGCAGAGACCAGAAGTTATTGCAGTCATGGCCAGGGGGGCTGGTAGTGGGAGGGAAACGTCTAGAAGCTGCCTGTGTTCGGAGGATGACTGTCGGGAGTCAGGGGTCCCCCCAGCAAAGGGGTGCCCGGGCAGGGACCGGAGAGAGGAGAGGCGCACGGGGGGATGGGGGGGCCCGCCTGGGGGCCACCTCCCTACCAGGAGCAGCGCCCGGGGTCAGGCCGGGACCTGGCGAGGGGACAGGAGCGCCAGGACGCTGGACGCTCAGCCCCGCCGCAGGGCCTCCAGCTCGTGGGCCACCTTCTCCAGCTCCGCCTCGATGGCCGACAGGCTCTCCAGCTCCTGGTCCTGGGGGAGAGAGCACCGTCAGTGGGAGGGGGACGTTCCCTCTCAGGACCCCCCAGCACAGGCGCAGAGATACGGGTGAGGACCAGGATGGCAGGAATAAGGGGCCTGACGTCCCACCCCTGAGCCTCTCACCCAGGCCTGTCGCCGCCTGGCTCTCCAGGGCAGGCCTGCCCTGTGCAGAGTAGCGCCTCTACCAGCATGAACTGCCCCGCCCCCCGATCACCCCGGTCATAGACAGATGGACACACACACGCACACACACACACTGTTCCTACTCCTCTTTCACACTCACATATACACGTACTCTCATAGATACCCTCATCACTCCATCCCTAACTATGCCTGTCTCTGTCTCTGTCTCTGTCTCTGTCTCTGTCTCTGTCTCTCTCTCTCTCTCTGGTATTCCTGTCCCAGGCCAAGACAGCCCTTGGCTTCCTGTCTGCCAGGCCCCAGCAGAGTGGCAGGGCTGGACCCCTGCGCACTGTGGCAGGCGGCCTTCCTGAGCTCTGCCCCCAGCTCTGCACAGACTCCCGGGAGCTCAGGCTCAGACTCAAGGGCTTCAGGGCAGTTGTGCCCTGGCCTAGCCCCTGCCCGGTATGGGACCACCATGGAGACAGACCCTGTGTCTTGCAGCCCCAGGGCCCAAGCTCTTGGGCCTAGAGCCAGTCCCTGGGACAGACCTCAGCCTGGTGCCGGGGGACCCCCTTCCTAGGGCTGTCACGACCCCCATCAGGAGCTGGGGCGTGACTCGGCGGCTGAGTGCAGGTTTGACCCATGGGAGCCCCAGGAGTGATCCCCAAGCACTGCCAGGAGTGGCCCCCCGGACCCAAATCCACCAAGACCCCAGCCCAGACTTCCCTCAGGTCCCTGGGCCTTCACCCACAGACCCGCTGCCCGCACTCCCTAGCTCCTGCCCAGGGCCTTCCCGCGGGGCCGTCCCTGCACGCCACAAGGTCCCCTGTGGGCCTGGGGACTGCCTGGCACCCAGAACTGGCACCCACACTTGGGGCGGGGAGAAAGAACATTCGAGCCCCGTTTCACCAACAGGAGGCTGCAAAAACAACAACAACAAAAAACGGGGCTGGAGCAACAGCACAGCGGGTAAAGCGTTTGCCTTGCACATGGCAGACCTGGGCTCGATTCCCAGCATCCCATGTGGTCCCCTGAGCACCGCCAGGAGTAACTCCTGAGTGCAGAGCCAGGAGTAACCCCTGTGCATCGCCGGGTGTGACCCAAAAAAGCAAAAAAAAAAAAATCCACCATGACCAGGAGGCCAGAAGGGCAGCGAGTGGACAGCAACTGGCCCTCCCTGCTGGCCCCCACCAGGGCTGTGACGGGAGAAGCTGCTGCAGAAGCAGGGTGTCCTGGGGACCCTGTGCGGTGCTGTGGCCCCCACCCCACTGTCCTTCCGATCTGGCGTCCACGGGCCCTGCACACTCCACACCCCGGCCCCCAGGACGGCAGCCGTTGCCCCCCATCCCTGAGTCCTGCTCCCTACTCTGCAGAACCCCCCCACCCCCGTTCCTCCAATGGCTTCAGGACAAAGATCCCACCCAGACTCTCCTCCAGGACCTCCCAGGCACCCCCTCTGGCTCCCAGGCACTGAGTGAGTGGGGGGCTCTCCCCGACCCCCAGCTTCTGTGACCCCCCCAGCCCTCGGCCCAGCCCGCACCCACCTCTGCCCTGCGGTTGGCGCTGCCTTCCTCCTCCTTCTTCTCCTCGGGGAAGCCGCGCACCCGCAGGCCCAGGCCGGCCTCCAAGCTGTCCTCCCGGGAGGACGGGCGCCAGCCTCGGGCCGGCCCGCGGCCCCTGAGCTCGCCGGCTGGGGCCCGGAAAGGCAGCTTCATGGAGCGGTCGGGCTGCTCCTCGGCCTCCTGCTCCAGGCGCTTCTCGGCCGCCAGCTCCTCGGCCAGGCGGTCCATCTTGCTCCAGCGCTTGGTGTCCGCCCACGGCTTGGGGCGCTGCCCCACGACCTCCTCTTCCTCCTCCTCCTCCTCCTCAGGTTCCAGCTGCCTGCTCCCTGCCAGCTCCTCCTCTTCCTCCTCCTCCTGCTTCTGCGGCCGGCCGTGCTCCCGCGCTGCCTTCCTTTTGGGGGGTCGAACCTCCTCAGACTCCTTCCTCCTCTCTTCATCCATGGCCGGAGCTTCGGGTGTACCTGGGGCGGGGGGGGACGGAAGCAGGATGATGAGCAAGGGGGTTCCCAGCACCCTTGCACCCCGGGGTCTCGGGGAAGGGGGTGAATCCCGATCCCGCGCTCAGCGGCCAGCCCTGCATCTCCGAAACGCTTCCCCCTAGGAGCCGAGAGCTGCCGGGTGATGCTCAGGGCACCTCTACCCTCTCCGCCCGGAGGCCCCCTGCCCACGCAGCACCCAGAGACGGGAAACCCAGCCAGGCCCCCCGGGAAAAACCAAGGTTCCAGGCTGGAGCAATAGCACAGCGGGGAGGGCGTTTGCCTTGCATGCGGCCGACCCGGGTTCTATTCCCAGTATCCCATATGGTCCTCTGAGCACCGCCAGGGGTAATTCCTGAGCACGGAGCCAGGAATAACCCCCGTGCATCACCCGGTGGACCCAAAAAGCAAAAACAAAAACAAAAACAAAACAAAACAAAAAAACAAGGTTCCCCAGAAGCTGGTCAGACACCGGTGGTTGTGCTGCTGGTCCTACCACCCACCACCCCCCAGCCCACCCTGTTCCCGGGGCATGGGGCGGTGGGCAGGAGCTGTGAGGAACAGGGGGACGTGAGGACTCAGGGCCGGACATCCGGGGCCGCACGCGCAGCTCTGATCATCAGCTGTGTGACCTTGGGTCCATGATGCAACCTCTCTGGAGCCTCAGTTTCCTCTCGGGAAACCAGAGACTGCATCTGGGGGTGGGGTGAAGGCGGAAGGAGCTCCCTGGTGGGGTCCCCGCCTGTCCACTACGCTTGTGCCCTACGTACCCTTCCTGCTCAGGCTCTCCTTGCTGCCCAGGCTGAGCGCCGAGGTGGGCTCTTCCTCCTCAGGCTGGGCCTTGGTGCCAGCCTCCTCCTCCGCCTCCTCTTCCTGCTCGGCTCGTGCGTGGTCCTTGACGGGGCCCTCGGCCTGTGACTCTGTGGATATCGGTTCTGGCTGACTGGCGGGGGGGTGCGTGTGGGGCGTCTCCTCCTCCTCCTCCTCCTCCTCGCCTGGTTCCTGGTCATCCTGGTCCCTGAACGCCTGCGTGGGCTCTGGGGAGGCCCGGGGCCTGCCTCCCTCCGTCTCTACCTCCTCAGAAGTTTCTCTTTTCTCTGCAGCCTCCTCGGGGGGTGCTGTCCCACCTGCGGAGATCACGGCATGATCAGCTCCGGGCCTCGATCGTGGGCAGGGGTCCCCAATCTCGGATCTCAGCCTCTGCCCAGACCCGCCCGACACCCTCTTGTCTTCACCAGCAGGGCTGGTCAGCCAAAGCACAGCTGCAGTTTTTCTTTTCTTTTTTTTTTTTTTTTTTTTTTTTGCTTTTTGGGTCACACCCGGCAATGCTCAGGGGTTACTCCTGGCACTGCAGTCAGGAATTACTCCTGGCTGGCGGTGCTTGGGGGACATATGGGATGCCGGGAATCGAATCCGGGTGGGCCATGTGCAAGGCAAACGCCCTACCCACTGTGCTACTGCTCCAGCCCCTGTCGTTTTTCTTATCTCGAATGTGGCCCCGGAAACTGTGTCCAGAGTTGAAATCGGGATGTTGGTGGGGCTGCTGTGAGAACCTGGGTGAGCCCCTAACCCTCTGGGAAGCAGACCGCGGTTCCCCAGGGGTTGGGGAGGGGACATTCTGCAGAGGCGCCCACCTGCGTCTGCTCGGCACAAGGACTTTTCCTAGTGAAACGCTCCAACCCCGTCCCTCACAGACTCTGTGAACTAGACGGAGACAGTGGCACGGTCACCCGGAGCTTGAGGCGAGGTCACTTCTCCACATGCCACGCTGGGACGCTTGCTTGCAGCCCCTCCCTGGCTGCGGTCAGGAGCGGGGGCGTCTGCAGCCTCCAGGCCACGTTCCTGCCGTTACCCAGCTGGATGCCCGCTGAGATTTGGGCCCATCCCCCCTGCATCCCTGCCAGCATCTGCAGAGAACAGGGCCTGGGGCAGCTGGTGGGTGCTCCCTGTCAGGAGGATGGACGGCATCGCCTCGACCCCTCCAAATCCTTCCAAGCTGGTTTCAGGGAAACGGCCCAGAAATATTGAACTTTGACCTCCTCTGGGATCCTCCTGCAACTCGGCACTATCTGGGTACCCCAAAGCCTGAAGCCAGGGGGCCCTCTGCCATGGCGACTGGAAAGACGATAAGGCTGCCTGCCTGCGAGGCCAGATACTCCCTGTCCTACAGCCTCAACGTACCCCGGTACTTCCTGGACTGGGCATCACCCCCTACTTCCTGTCCTAGGGTAATACTCTCCCCTGGTACTTCCTGTCCTGGGGCATCACCCACCCTACTTCCCATCCTGAGCATCATCCCCTACTTCCTGTCCTGGGCATCACCCTCCTACTTCCTGTCCTGGGGCATCACCCCCCTACTTCCTGTCCTGGACATCACCCCCTACTTCATGTCCTGGGCATCACCCCCTACTTCCTTTCCTGGGGCATCACCCCCTACTTCCTGTCCTAGGCATCACCCCCTACTTCCTTTCCTGGGCATCACCTCCAACTTCCTGTCCTGGGGCATCACCCCCCTACTTCTTGTCCTGGACATCACCCCCTACTTCCTGTCCTGGACATCACCCTCCTACTTCCTTCCTGGGGCATCACCCCCCTACTTCCTGTCCTGGACATCACCCCCTACTTCATGTCCTGGGCATCACCCCCTACTTCCTTTCCTGGGGCATCACCCCCTACTTCCTGTCCTAGGCATCACCCCCTACTTCCTGTCCAGGGCATCACACCCAACTTCCTGTCCTGGACATCACCCCCTACTTCCTGTCCTGAGCATCACCCCCTACTTCCTGTACTGGGGCATCACCCCCCTACTTCATGTCCGGGGCATCACCCCCTACTTCCTTTCCTGGGGCATCACCCCCTACTTCCTGTCCTGAGCATCACCCCCTACTTCATGTCCTGGGCATCACCCCCTACTTCCTTTCCTGGGGAATCACCCCCTACTTCCTGTCCTGAGCATCACCCCCTACTTCCTGTCCTGGGGCATCACCCCCTACTTCCTGTCCTGAGCATCACCTCCTACTTCCTGTCCTGGGGCATCACCCCCTACTTCATGTCCTGGGCATCACCCCCTACTTCCTGTCCTGGACATCACCCCCGACTTCCTGTCCTGAGCATCACCCCCTACTTCCTGTTCTCGGGCATCACCCCCCTACTTCATGTCCTGGGCATCACCCCCTACTTCCTGTCCTGGACATCACCCCTTACTTAATGTCCTGGGCATCACCCCCTACTTCCTGTCCTGGGGCATCACCCCCCTACTTCATGTCCTGGGCATCACCCCCTACTTCCTGTCCTGGGCATCACCCCCTACTTCCTTTCCTGGGGCATCACCCCCCTACTTCATGTCCTGGGCATCACCCCCTACTTCCTGTCCTGGACATCACCCCCTACTTCCTGTCCTGGACATCACCCCATACTTCCTGTCCTGGACATCACCCCCGACTTCCTGTCCTGAGCATCACCCCCTACTTCCTGTCCTGGGGCATCAGCCCCCTACTTCATGTCCTGGACATCACCCCCTACTTCCTGTCCTGGACATCACCCCCTACTTCATGTCCTGGGCATCAACCCCTACTTCCTTTCCTGGGGCATCACCCCCCCTACTTCCTATCCTAGGCATCACCCCTTACTTCCTTTCCTGGGGCATCACCCCCTACTTCCTGTCCTGAGCATCACCTCCTACTTCCTGTCCTGGGGCATCACCCCTCTACTTCATGTCCTGGGCATCACCCCCTACTTCCTGTCCTGGACATCACCCCTTACTTCATATCCTGGGCATCACTCCCTACTTCCTGTCCTGGGGCATCACCCCCTACTTCATGTCCTGGGCATCACCCCCTACCTCCTTTACTGGGGCATCACCCCCTACTTCCTGTCCTGAGCATCACCCCCTACTTCCTGTCCTGGGGCATCACCCCCCTACTTCATGTCCTGGGCATCACCCCCTACTTCCTGTCCTGGACATCACCCCTTACTTAATGTGCTGGGCATCACCCCCTACTTCCTGTCCTGGGGCATCACCCCCTACTTCCTGTCCTGAGCATCACCCCCTACTTCCTGTCCTCGGGCATCACCCCCCTACTTCATGTCCTGGGCATCACCCCCTACTTCCTGTCCTGGACATCACCCCTTACTTAATGACCTGGGCATCACCCCCTACTTCCTGTCCTGGGGCATCACCCCCCTACTTCATGTCCTGGGCATCACCCCCTACTTCCTGTCCTGGGCATCACCCCCTACTTCCTTTCCTGGGGCATCACCCCCCTACTTCATGTCCTGGGCATCACCCCCTACTTCATGTCCTGGGCATCAACCCCTACTTCCTTTCCTGGGGCATCACCCCCCCTACTTCCTATCCTAGGCATCACCCCTTACTTCCTTTCCTGGGGCATCACCCCCTACTTCCTGTCCTGAGCATCACCTCCTACTTCCTGTCCTGAGCATCACCCCCTACTTCCTGTACTGGGGCATCACCCCCCTACTTCATGTCCGGGGCATCACCCCCTACTTCCTTTCCTGGGGCATCACCCCCTACTTCCTGTCCTGAGCATCACCCCCTACTTCATGTCCTGGGCATCACCCCCTACTTCCTTTCCTGGGGAATCACCCCCTACTTCCTGTCCTGAGCATCACCCCCTACTTCCTGTCCTGGGGCATCACCCCCTACTTCCTGTCCTGAGCATCACCTCCTACTTCCTGTCCTGGGGCATCACCCCCTACTTCATGTCCTGGGCATCACCCCCTACTTCCTGTCCTGGACATCACCCCCGACTTCCTGTCCTGAGCATCACCCCCTACTTCCTGTTCTCGGGCATCACCCCCCTACTTCATGTCCTGGGCATCACCCCCTACTTCCTGTCCTGGACATCACCCCTTACTTAATGTCCTGGGCATCACCCCCTACTTCCTGTCCTGGGGCATCACCCCCCTACTTCATGTCCTGGGCATCACCCCCTACTTCCTGTCCTGGGCATCACCCCCTACTTCCTTTCCTGGGGCATCACCCCCCTACTTCATGTCCTGGGCATCACCCCCTACTTCCTGTCCTGGACATCACCCCCTACTTCCTGTCCTGGACATCACCCCATACTTCCTGTCCTGGACATCACCCCCGACTTCCTGTCCTGAGCATCACCCCCTACTTCCTGTCCTGGGGCATCAGCCCCCTACTTCATGTCCTGGACATCACCCCCTACTTCCTGTCCTGGACATCACCCCCTACTTCATGTCCTGGGCATCAACCCCTACTTCCTTTCCTGGGGCATCACCCCCCCTACTTCCTATCCTAGGCATCACCCCTTACTTCCTTTCCTGGGGCATCACCCCCTACTTCCTGTCCTGAGCATCACCTCCTACTTCCTGTCCTGGGGCATCACCCCTCTACTTCATGTCCTGGGCATCACCCCCTACTTCCTGTCCTGGACATCACCCCTTACTTCATATCCTGGGCATCACTCCCTACTTCCTGTCCTGGGGCATCACCCCCTACTTCATGTCCTGGGCATCACCCCCTACCTCCTTTACTGGGGCATCACCCCCTACTTCCTGTCCTGAGCATCACCCCCTACTTCCTGTCCTGGGGCATCACCCCCCTACTTCATGTCCTGGGCATCACCCCCTACTTCCTGTCCTGGACATCACCCCTTACTTAATGTGCTGGGCATCACCCCCTACTTCCTGTCCTGGGGCATCACCCCCCTACTTCATGTCCTGGGCATCACCCCCTACTTCCTTTCCTGGACATCACCCCCTACTTCATGTCCTGGGCATCACCCCCTACTTCCTGTCCTGGACATCACCCCCTACTTCATGTCCTGGGGCATCACCCCCCTACTTCATGTCCTGGGCATCACCCCCTACTTCCTGTCCTGAGCATCACCCCCTACTTCCTGTCCTCGGGCATCACCCCCCTACTTCATGTCCTGGGCATCACCCCCTACTTCCTGTCCTCGGGCATCACCCCCCTACTTCATGTCCTGGGCATCACCCCCTACTTCCTGTCCTGGACATCACCCCCGACTTCCTGTCCTGAACATCACCCCCTACTTCCTGTCCTCAGGCATCACCCCCTACTTCCTGTCCTGGACATCACCCCCTACTTCATGTCCTGGGCATCATCCCCTACTTCCTTTCCTGGGGCATCACCCCCTACTTCCTGTCCTCGGGCATCACCCCCCTACTTCATGTCCTGGGCATCACCCCCTACTTCCTGTCCTGGACATCACCCCCTACTTCATGTCCTGGGCATCACCCCCTACTTCCTTTCCTGGGGCATCACCCCCTACTTCCTATCCTAGGCATCACCCCTTACTTCCTTTCCTGGGGCATCACCCCCTACTTCCTGTCCTGGGGCATCACCCCCTACTTCCTGTCCTCGGGCATCACCCCCCTACTTCATGACCTCGGGCATCACCCCCTACTTCCTGTCCTCGGGCATCACCCCCTACTTCCTGTCCTCGGGCATCACCCCCTACTTCCTGTCCTGGGGCATCACCCCCTACTTCCTGTCCTCGGGCATCACCCCCTACTTCCTGTCCTGGACATCACCCCCTACTTGATGTCCTGGGCATCACCCCCTACTTCCTGTCCTGGACATCACCCCCTACTTCATGTCCTGGGACATCACCCCCTACTTCCTGTCCTCGGGCATCACCCCCCTACTTCATGTCCTGGGCATCACCCCCTACTTCCTGTCCTGGGCATCAACCCCTACTTCATGTCCTGGGCATCACCCCCTACTTCCTGTCCTGGACATCACCCCCTACTTCATGTCCTGGGCATCACCCCCTACTTCCTGTCCTCGGGCATCACCCCCCTACTTCATGTCCTGGGCATCACCCCCTACTTCCTTTCCTGGGGCATCACCCCCCTACTTCATGTCCTGGGCATCACCCCCTACTTCCTGTCCTGGACATCACCCCCTACTTCATGTCCTGGGCATCACCCCCTACTTCCTTTCCTGGGGCATCACCCCCTACTTCCTGTCCTAGGCATCACCCCTTACTTCCTGTCCTGGGCATCACTCCCCTACATACTGTCCTGGGCATCACCCCCTACTTCCTGTCCTGGGCATCACCCCCTACTTCCTGTCCTGGGGTATCACTCTCCCCTGGTCCTTCCTGTCCTGGGCATCACCCCCTACTTCCTGTCCTGGGGCATTATTCTGCCTGACACTTCCTGTCCTGGAGTGATACTCCACGGGCATTTGGACCAATCAGAGCCAGATTTCAGTTTGTGCCGCTCTCCTTAGGCAGCGTCCACCACTGCTGCAGGCCTTCGCCAACCTCATAAAGGCAAGCAGTGACGTGACCTCACAGCCTAGGGTAGTGGCTCCCGACCTTTCAGAACTGCCTTGTCCGGCGCCCCCTCCCTCCCGCGGCCTCACCCAGAGCTGCCCTACCCTTCGGCGGGGCCTGGTCGCTCTGCTTCTCCGGCGCCTCGGTGAGCTCGTCCTCCGCACTGCCATGCTTCTTCTGCTGCCGTGACCTCTCCTTGGCCCCTGTGTCGGAGCAGCATGCCATTTCCCTGCGTGTGCAGGGCCCAGGGCCTGCCCCCAGCTGGGCCCACCTCCCCCACCCGGCCCCTCCAACTGTTTCTCCTTTGCCGCGCACGCCTCAGAGTGGACTGGTTCAGAATAATCGATTTGAGTGTTGGGCTCAACCGGAGCTGCGGTCTAGACAGTTGGGGGTCCGGGCTGGTGGAAAGGGGGCCCTTGGGCAGGTCACACCGGTGCTTCTTCCCTCAATGGGGGGCTCTTGGTTCAGACCCCCTGAACCCGGCACATCCAGGTGACGGGGGCAGCACTGGGCTGTGCCGAGCTCAGGGTGGGCACCGTGATTACCCAGGGAGCCCCGTGCTCTGCAGTGGCTGCTGACAGTCCTGGCCCCTGGCTCCTGGGAGTCTGTGGCCAGGGAAGCCGACAGCTGGGGTGAGTCTTTGCTATGATGGACACTGCTGGGCTGGCCTTCCGGGTGGTGTCAAGCAGGGACTGGGTCAAATCGGTGCTGGGCCAACCCCTACCTTAGTCCCTCGCTCTGCTCTGGGCTCTGGGCTCCCCCTTTGGCACTCTCGTTTATAAGGGTGCTAAGGTACAGGGTGCAAGATAGGGGAGCGTAGAGGGGTAGAGGGGTTCGGGGTGGAGGACAGGTGGACAGACAGACAACTGTATCAGGGTCACTATGGGGACTAGATTAGATACAATATTGGATGGGTTTTTTTTTTTTTTGCTTTTTGGGTCACACCCAGCAATGCACAGGTGTTCCTCCTGGCTCTGCACTCAGGAGTTACTCCTGGCAGTGCTCAGGGGACCATATGGCATGCTGGGAATCGACCGCAGGTCGACCTGTGTGCAAGGCAAACACCTCCCAGCAACCCGGGTCGACCGCGTGCAAGGCAAACGCCCTACCTGCTGTGCTATCGCTCCAGCCCCTGGATGCTTGCTTGCTTTCTTCTTTCTTTCTTTCTTTCTTTCTTTCTTTCTTTCTTTCTTTCTTTCCTCCTTCCTTCCTTCCTTCCTTCCTTCCTTCCTCCCTGTCTCTCTCTCCCTCTCTCTCTTTCTTTTTTCCCCCATCTTTTTGGGTCACCTGGCAAGGCTCAGGGCTTACTCCTGGCTCTGTGCTCAGGAATTACTCCTGGTGTTGCTCAGGAGACCAATATGGAATGATAAGGATCAAACCCAGTCCACCTTGTGCAAGACCAGCACGTTCCCTGCTGCACTATTGCTCTGACCCCCTCGATAGTTTCTATCTAAACACACAGAGGTGTGTGTGTGTGTGTGTAGATATTTCAGAACTGTAGCACTGTCCTCCTGTTCATCAATTTGCTTGAGCGGGCACCAGTAACGTCTCACAACAAATTGTAAGACTTGTTGTTACCGTGTTTGGCATATTGAATACGTCACGGGTAGCTTGCCAGACTTTGGCATGTGGGCGAGATACTCTCGGTAGCTTGCCGGGGTCTCCGAGAGGGGCGGAGGAATCGAACTTGGGTTGGCTAGGTCGGCTATGTGCAAGGCAAACACCCTACCCGCTGTGCTATGGCTCCAGCCCTATTTCAGGACACACCCCCTAAAACAGCATCATTGTACTTAAACATAGTGAGAGAGTCACTCAATACTCTGTTGCTTTCTTTTTCTTTGGGGTGTGTGTGGGGGGGACATCCTGTGATGTTCAGGGCTTCCTCATGGCTCTGTGCTCAGGGATCCCTCCTGGAGGGCCTGGGAGTCGGTACAGGGGGCAGGGGCTGAACCTGGGTCAGCCATGAGCAAGGCAAAAGCTTTACCTGCTGTACTATCATTCTGGCCCTCGATACTAAACTTTAAGAAAACATCTTGGTTTCCCCTCCTGGAACCCAAGATCCAGCCCTAAGCTGGGTCCTTACTCGGGTGGGAGCAGATGTGACCGCAGTGCCGGAGACCCCTCCCCTGTGGGGGGTACTGGCCCCGCCAGCACGCAAACGATCAATGCACCCAACCTGAGGCTGGCACGGGGGCAGAACATGCCACTTTGCACACTGGCCAGGGAGGTCCCCACGTCTGAGCGCGCTCCTGGCTGGCCTCAAGCCACCGGCCCCGCCCCCCCACCCCCCAGCACCAGGAGCTCAGCCCCCGTCCAGAGCTGGACTGTCTCCTCCACTCCAGCAGGAAGACCGAACTAACGACCAGGCCCACCACGGCTACTCGGGGGTGGGGTGGGGGGTGGGTTCAAGCAAGGTGTGACTTGCCCCATCCATCAGAAATTTGGAAGGAGGAAAGGGCTGGGGTTAGAGGGATCGCACAGCAGGGAGGGTGTTTGCCTTGCACGCATGCAGCCAACCCGGGTTCGATTCCCAGCGTCCCATAGGATCCCCTGAGCACCACCAGGAGTAATTCCTGAGTGCATGAGGTAGGAGTAACCCCTGCGCATCGCTGGGTATGACCCAAAATGCCAAAAAAAAAAAAAAAAGAAGGAAGGGGTTCCTTCCTTGTCCAGAAATTCCATGTTGCTTCAGCTGACAGAGGTCAGGGGCCATCTCTGTCAGCCAGGCCTGAGGGTGTCCTTCCAGACACCGTGGATGGGCAGAGCTACATCTGGTCCCAGCATGTCCCTGACACACCTTGTGACCTCGGAGAAGCCACCAACCCCCACAGAAACTGGATCTTTCCTGAATTGAGCCCACAGGGGCTTCTGAGACCCTCCTCATTCTCTGGATTCCAGCGGACACAGGACCCTGCCCCCATCATTTTACAATGGACCCACAGGGCAGCCCCGAGGGAGAGGGCAGGGCGTTGCTGGACTTCCCACCCGCTCCCTGGAGCCCCAGTTCCTGCGCTTGGCTAGAGCTGTGGGCAGTGGCCGGCCGGAAGTACCTTGCAGGGCGAGGTCCTGGAGCTCTTTGAGCAGGTTCTGGTGCCTCAGAATGGAGAGGATGCGCTCATCTGCAGAGGAGGGGAGCAGGAGGGCCGTGGGGGGTGGGGGGCCAGAGATCACCATCAGCATTTTCAGCTAAGCCCAAGGGAAGGATTCCCGAAACTTGACCCCCATGTGAAACGGGGTCTTGAGATGATACTGTAGCCATCACCTTTCCAAATGTCTGACAGCTTCTCATGGAGTCAGACAGCACCCCCCCTTCCCTTCCCAGCCTTGAGTCACAGCCTTTCAAGGGAGGTTGGGGTCTAAACACACTCCCCCGTCTCTGGGTCTCGCTCCCGTTGCCCACCTGCCCGGTACTTTTTGCTTGCTCTTCTCTCCTACCTGCCCGCAACTTTTCTTTTTCTTTTCTTTTTTTTTTTTTTTTTTTTTTTTTTTTGCTTTTTGGGTCACACCCAGCGATGCACAGGGGTTCCTCCTGGCTCATGCACTCAGGAATTACTCCTGGCTGTGCTTGGGGGACCATATGGGATCCTGGGAATCAAACCCAGGTCAGTCGTGTGCCAGTCAAACACCCTACCTGCTGTGCTGTCACTCCAGCCTCGCTCCTGCAACTTTCCTTTCAAAGCCCACTCCCAGTGCTTGGGCTGGACCCTCCCCCCCCGCCCCGCCTCAGCTGCTTGAAAACGCTCATTCCCACTCCTGCCAACCATGGGGCACATCGCCCATCTCTTCCGGGCATGGTGCAGCCAGTGGCATCCTTGCCCGCTGGGAGCCGCTGCAGCCTGGTCTCATTCTGCCTGGATGCCTGGTGACCCGGGTCCCCTCCCAGCACCTCTGTTAGTCTGTCCAGTCCACACCCCCAGGTGATGACCCCTGCCTGCAGCATCTCCCAACCCCCCACCCCAGCCCTGGCCTGGAAGCCACGGGCCCTGGGGCAGCATCTGCTGAAAACTGTGGGTGGACCCACCCGGCCTCCCTGCGCCCAGCCTACCTCCGCGGAGGGTTTCCGAGCACTCCTGGCTGACGGGCACCGGGCTGGGCTTGGAGAGCGTGTCGGAGATGACCTCCACGATGCACTTCATCACCTGGAAGACAGGCAGGCAACTGCGACTAGGGGCACAGCCCCCCACCCCCCACGAGACCGCCTCCTGGCACTAACTTCCAGCTGGGACATAGGAAGAGCTGCTCTGGTATTTAGGGGTCAGGGGCTGGGTCTGTCTCCTTAGCCAGTGAGAATAACAGCAACAGAAACTCCCCTCACTGTGTATCGGATGGGGAGGGGGCCTGGCACGATCACATCCAAACTTGCCGTTTCTCCAAAGAGGCTGACTTGGCTCAAGTCTGGTATACCCTCTCTTGAGGATATCTGTTTTTTTTTTTTTTAAATTGAATCACATAGCTGGAGCGATAGCACAGTGGTAGGGCGTTTGCCTTGCACGCGGCCGCCCCAGCCGAGCCGGGTTCGATTCCTCTGCCCTCTCAGAGAGCCCGACAAGCTACTGAGTGTATCTCGCCTGCACAGCAAAGCCTGGCAAGCTACCCGTGATGTATTCGATATGCCAAACACAAACAAAGTCTCCAATGGAGACAGTTACTGGGTCTGCTGGAGCCAACCCATGAACAGCTGGAGAACAGTGTTACAGTGTTACAGTGTTTTGAATCACACTGAGATAGTTACAAGCTTTCGTGTTTGGGTTACAATCACACAATGATCAAACACCCATCCCTCCACCAGTTCACATTCCCCACCACCAATATCCCCGGTATACCCCCCTTTCCCACCCTCCCCCTGCCTCCGTGGCAGACATGATTCCCCATAATCTCCCTCTACTTTGGGGGATTATGGTTTGCAATACAGATACTGAGAGGTCATCATGTTTGGTCCTTTATCTACTTTTTCTGCACACATCTCCCATCCCGACCGGTTCCTCCAGCCATCATTTTCTTAGTGATCCCCTCTCTATTCCAGCTGCCTTCTCCCCTTTGCTCATGAGGCAGGCTTCCAGCTAGGGAGCAATTTATCGATCCCGTGTATCTACTAGAGGATATCTGGTTTTAAGGCAGCCACCTCCAAGAAGCCTCCCTGGATTCCCCAGAGGGGAGTGAAGACCCACCCTAGCTCACTCCTGTTTGCAAACAGCATGAGTACCACAGCCATGGGGCTGACCCAGATGGGGTGCGGGGTTGTGGGGACAGCCTTGCAGTCTGGCTCCAAGGTGACCTGTGGGTGGACACCCCCTACTCTGGCTGGAGGCGCATGGGGTGGCAAATCCCGGGGCCCCCAGATGCAAGTCTGGGATTGGACCGCCACGCTCCTGATGAACCTGACACACAAAACGTGCAGGCAGTGCCATCTGGGGCCTGAGAGGGCAGGGCTTTGTGGGTCAGAGCCCCGGGTTCGATTCCTGGGCTCCCCGTGCTCCCTGAGCACTGCCTGGAGCGGGTGAGCCTGGATGCAGGAGCCACATTCAACTTCCCAGGTAGGACGGGATGCAGGAGACAGGACTTGGAAAGGCTCACCCGCACCCCGGGAGGGGCAACACGCCCCCCCCCACTCCCGCCTTGCTGTGTGGGGGCTAGGCAGAGAGGTGTCAGACGCACACCGGGCGCTGCAGAGGGGAGGGAGGGGGGTGGCAGCTGTGACTCTGGGTGCCAAGGCAACCTGTCCCAGGAGCCGGGGTGGCACACGGGCGGGCGGGCAGCCGGGCGGGAACACTCAGCTCTTCGCCGGCTGCTCCGGGGCCCTGGCCCAGGCTCTTGGGCACAAGCTGGCGACCAAAATGTCGCCCACGAGGGATCTGGCAGGAAAGCTCCTGCCACCTGTCTCCCACCCCCCCCCCCCAGCTCACACTGAGGCACCACACTGCCTGTCCCCGAGGAGGGGGCGGAGGAAGGAGGGGTGACGGGTGAAGGCGAGGAGGGCGGGCGAGTGACAGTCCCTCCCGCAGGCCAGCCGCCTCCCTTCTGTGACCCTGCCCTTTCCCCTCCCGCTGTCGGTCCAGGAACACGGTCTGGACAGAAAAGGGGCCGGCTCTGGGGTGCTCAGGAGTAGCTCGAGAATCCGGAGAACGAGTAGGAGGAGTCACACGAACCTGCTTGCAGTTGAGGACCAGGGAATCTTTTTTTTCTTTTTGGGGGATTTTTGGGTCACACCTGGCAATGCTCAGGGGTTAGTGACTCCTGGCTCTGCACTCAGGAACTCCTCCTGGCGGTGCTCGGGGGACCCTAGGAGAGGCCAGACTGGAACCCGGGTCGGCTGCGTGCAAGGCAAGGCTGCCCTCCGCAGGAGCGGGGAATCTGAGGAGACCAAAGGCGGTGCAGCCTCTCGCAGGCTGGGGGGTGGGGGGGTGCTTTTATTGGAGGTTTCTTGCTGTTGTTTTGTTTTCAGGTCACTGGGCGGTGCTCAGGGATCACTCCTGGCGGTGCTCAGGGGACCGTTTGTGGTGCCGGGGAGGGGAGACAAGTGTCCTTTCTGCTGCACCCTCTCTGTCTCTGTCTCTTTCTCTGTCTCTGTCTCTCATCCCCCCACCCCCTCTGGCCTCTGATGCTTGGGTTTCAACTAGAGCCTCAGAAAGAAAATAGAAAAAAAAATAAAAGAGGCAGGGAGGGGAAATCTAACTCAAGTATGGCACAGTCTGAACGACCCCCAGGGCTGCAGGAGCCAGAGGGGGTCTTGCTTCTCACATAAACCCCGACCAGCATCCCCACGACCCTTGCTGAGTGTGCTGAGTGAGCCCGCCATTAGTCACAGCGGGCTGGCGTTTGCCTCATGGTCCTGGGGGGATCTGACAGGGGGCTGTGTGTGTGTGTGTGTGTGTGTGTGTGTGTGTGTAGGGGGGGTGTTTGCAGGCAGTGGGGGTGGGGGAGTATGCTGGAGGTGTGGGCCCAGCTGCAGCCCAGAGCGCCGAGCACAGGGCCCAATGAGAGCCCAGTGTGTGGGGAAGTTCCTCCAGCAGGACAGCGGGTCTCAGCTGGTGGCCCTGATGGCTTTTCGCAAGCTGTTCCCAGGCTGGGCAGCCGCAGTGCCGACTGCTGGCTCTGTGCCAGGCAAACTCCTGCAGCTGCCCAGGACCCGACTGCGAGGCGTCCAGGGCCCACCCCCCCGGACCCCTCCCAGCACAGGCCCCCCCCAGACCTTCTTACCTCGGTGTCCCCTTTATTCATAGGGCTGTTCACAGGGAGGGCAGTGACTGGGGAGAGAGAGGAGAGCTGGACGTCACTTCTCCGCTCCTTCCTGGCTGTGTCCACCACCGGGGGTCCCCTTACCCTGGGTCCCTCTCAAAAAACGCCCTCAGGGAGAGGCGGGAGACGGTTGTCGCCCTCCCAGCCTGCTGCGGCGGCGGCTGCTGGGAGTGGGGAGGGGGCTAGCTGGTCTCCGTCCCACCCGCTGGGTCGGCCAGTGCGGTCCCCAGGCACGAGCTCTGGAAACCAGGCCAGGGGCCGAGTGGGACCAGGGCAGGGAGAGCTAAAGGGGGGAAGGGGGGCGTGAAGGAGGGGGTGTCAGAGATCCCCTGGGAGACTTGGGGGCCAAAGCCGGAGGAGGACAGGAGGGGTCGGGGCGAGAAGAGGTGGGGGGGGGGCACAGCCGCTCCGGTCCCCGGTGACCTTGGGCAGGCGCGGCCTGGGGCCATCTGGGTCAGGCCCAGCCAGTGGAGTTGCCCCTGCGGGTCCGGCCGAGGCGGCGGCGCTGTCCGCGGTGCTGACCGCTGTCCGCGCGGGCGGCCGGAGAGCGGGGCCGGGGAGCGGGGCAAGCAGGAGGGTGGGTGCAGGGGCGGGCGCGGGGCCGGAACCCCCGCGGCGGGCAAGGGGCGCCCCACCCTGCCCCCGCGGGACCCCGCCTCGCTCACCTTGCCCGGCGCACAGCAGCAGCGCCAGGAGCGCGGCCGAGCGCATGGTGACGCGGGGGGTGCAGCTGGCGGCTGGGGGCGGCGTCCCGGCTCCGTCCGTCCGTCGGTCCGTCCGTCCGTCGGCCCGTCCGTCAGTGCGTCCGTCCGTCCGTCCGTCCGGCGGCCCGAGCACCGGCCTCCGCGCCTGCCCAGGGCACTGCTGCAGCGGCACCGCTCGCGCGCGCCCCACTTATAGCCACCCGGCCCGGAAGTGACGTCATCGGGCCGCCCCGCGGGGTCTGTCAACACCTGGGTCCTCCCCTCCACGCGGCGGGTGCTGTTTGGGACGGGCACCTGGGTGCAGGAAGGGGCACGGGCTCCGCATCCGGCACCGTGGGCCCCAGACGTGTGTGTGTGTGTGTGTGTGTGTGTTTGTGTCTCTGTGTGTTTGTGTGCGTGTGTTTGTGTGTGTTTGTGGTGTGTTTGTGATTGTGTGAGTTTGTGTGTGGTGTGTGTGAGTTTGTGTGCGTGTGCTTGTGTGCGTGTTTTTGTGTGTTTGCGTGTGATTTTGGTGTGTGTGTTTGTGTGCATGTGTTTGTGTGTGTTTGTGGTGAGTGTGTCTGTGTGTTTGTGTGTGTTCGTGGTGTGTGCGCGTGCTTGTGTGCGTGTTTTTGTGTTTGTGTGCGTGTTTGTGTGTGTTTGTGGTGTGTGCGTGTTTGTGTCTGTGTGTTTGTATGTGTGTTTGTGTGTGTGTGCGCACATGCGCTCAAGTCACTACTTTCTACCTCTCCTCCACTCCACCACCCTGCCTCATCCCTCTCCTGGGGTTCAGCTCCCCGGAGCCCGCCTAGATCCCTGTCAGCTCTGACACCAGGTGGCAGTCCGCCCCGCCCCCCACCAACGTTGCAGAGACAGGAAGATGCCCCCCACTCGGCCCCTTCCATGTCTAGGAGCCTCATCCGGCGCCTTCACGGTGTGTCCTTGTGTCTGTCCTTGAGTGATTTATGTGGGTAATGTTTGCTCACTTCAGCTTCCCAGCAGGTGCCCTGGCACCTTGTAAACACACCTAATAGGTTACTGTGGATTCTACAGATTGGAAGTTCAACCCCTGGACAGAGAATCCTGGGCTCTTGACCAATGCCAGGGAGTTGTTCTGGGGGTAGCAGGCCGCCTGGGGGAATAGCCCTGCACAGTTCTTGTTAATAAATCATCACACCCGTCTTTGTAAGGGCTGACATCAGCCCTAGTTCAACCCCAGGAGCCAACTTCTTGTTGCTCGCAACCTGCTTTCTGGGGCGCTCAGGGGGGTTAATCCCAGCTCTGCTTGGGGAGTGCTCCCGGCCAGTGCTCAGGGAGCCATGTGGTGCTGGGGACTGAGCCCAGGCTTCCCACATGCAAAACGTGTTCCAGCCCTTTGGGCTATCTTCCTGGCCAAGACAGATTTATTCAGAGTTCTCAGTCCTGTAGAAGGTGGACAGGTTTTTGGTCTAAGAAAACGCACACACACAAACACACATACACCACATAAAGAATTTTCATTTACTATCTGACTGGGGATAGGTTTTATGCAAGAAAATGGATGCCCTGCCCCAGAAGCACCACTTCCTCCTTTGTTCTATCCCGATTAATGATCGTGTTTGTGGTTTTGTGAATATGTGTTTGCTTCGGTAGTGGTTGCAGGGCATGCTGATTTCTTTCCTGGAAGGGGATTACCCTTGGCCACCGGCCTGGTGGACACTGTGTCAAGGAGATGTTGACACACGGATTCTGCAGGCCCACTGAGAAGCTTTCTCCTCCCGAGCTCAGAAAGGAGGGTTCTGATCCATAGCTGGCGTCGTTCAGAGCTCCACTCCTTCCTGAGACCCCAACCCATCCCTGCTGCTCTTTCCTGCTTCTGTGCCACACACACTCCCAAGAGAGATGACACAAGGAACTCAGAGGAGACACAGTCCTCTTTGTGCCTTTATTCACTCGACAGCTATTGGTTAAATACCCACCAGATGCTTAGAATAGCATTCAGGTATGTGCAGTGCTGAGGATATACTGTGAGCAAAATAGACTAGTTCCCGGGGCCAGAGTGATTAGTATAGCAGGGAGGGTGCTTGCCTTGCACGTGGGCGACTAGTGTTCAAATCACGGTATCCCGTGTGATCGATCCCCCGAGCACAGCCAGGAATGATCCCTGAGTGCAGAGCCAGGAGTAATTTCTGAGCACTGCTGGGTGTGGCCCCAAAATAGGACAAAAAAAAAAAAAAGACTAACTCCTGGCCCTTGGGGACTTTATTTTTGAGAAGGTGAAGACATGATGAATAAGTAAAGAAAACAAACAGAATCAGGTACTAGCGAGTGTGCAGGTAAGAATGGGACAGTGGGGGCTGGAGCGATAGCACAGTGGATAGGGCATTTGCCTTGCACGCAGCCGATCTGAGTTCGATTCTCAGCATCCCATATGGTCCCCTGAGCACTGCCAGGAGTAATTCTTGAGTGCAGAACCAGGAGTAACCCCTGTGCATCGCCAAGTGTCACCCAAAAACAAACAAACAAAAAGGATGGGACAGTGGGAGGTGGGAGGACGCCTCGGGAGAATGAGCCTGTGCCTTGCACTCAGGGGGCCTGGACACAGTTCCTGGCACGTCATAATCTCCTGAGTGCTGCCAGGCATTACCTTGAGCACTGAATCAGGAGGACCCCCGAGCACTTCTGGGTGTAGCTTAAACCAAATGGAAGGGGCCAGAAAGCTCAATGGGCAGAGTGTTTGCTTTGCATGATGGGGGCTGGGTGTGACCCCCGACACTGATGGTCCTCTCAGCACCAACGGCTGTGACCCCAAATCCAAACCAACCACCACCATCCCCAAAGAAGGGACGTAGGTATGTGGGTGTGCCAAGAAGGGTGGATTGTTTTTTTTTGTTCTGTTTTGGGGCCACACCTGGCGGTGCTCAGGGCTTCCACCTGCTTTCAGAAGATCACTCCTGGCAGGGCTAGGAGCACCATATGTCGTGGAGCTGGGAATAGAGCTGGGTTGACTGTGCAAAAGGAGTGCCCTACCCATTCCTGCCCCACGGTGGTTTATTTTTAAGTAGACTGTCTCAGGGGACCGGAGCGAGGAGATGTCATCTCAGCAGAGCTCTGAGCTTGGTGAGGGACCTGCCCGCCTGCCTGCAGGGACAAAGCAGGGAGGGAGGGAGGAACAGATGCCAGAAGAAGCTTCCAGAGAAACAAGCAGGCGAGCAGAGGGGCGGCTTCACAGCAGTGCGTGGTCCAACTCCACAACACTCCAGAAACAGAACAACTCACCTGGACCACCACAGCCCAGAGGGAAGGAGTCATTCTGCAGCTCCTGTGGTGCCCGGAGATGGTCCCTAAACTCCCATACCCCAGCTGAGCCCTGAGCAGGTGCCTGGCCCGGGGTTAAGGGTTCCTGAGTGAGGCTGGAGACCAAGCCCCAGCTTTGAGCTCCATGCTGGAATATAATCCTGGCGCCGGAGCACAGCACAGGGAGTGGCCTCTGGTATCCTGCAACCCAGTGTACCCCCGTCTCACACATCACAACGATAAGGGAAGGGAAGAGGAAAGAAAACTTGGAATCAGTGTCAGGCGCTTCCGATGTGGGGCCATCCAGAACGTGTTCCAGTTTTGCCATGTGTTAAGACATTCTCCAGGGGCTGGAGCGATAGCACAGTGGGGAGGGCGTTTGCCTTGCATGCGGGCGACCCGGGTTCGATTCCCAACATCCCATATGGTCCCTTGAGCACCGCCAGGAGTAATTCCTGAATGCAGAGCCAGGAATAACCCCTGTGCATCGCCGGATGTGACCCCCCCCCAAAAAAAACCAAAACAAACAAATAAAAATACACCACCCAACCTCAAGCAATGAAGTTCTAACTGCATCATGAGGATAAAAAAAAACAAAAAACAAAAACAAACAAACAAAAGCATCATCATGTTCTGCACTGTGTGGTGCACTGGCCTCCTGCAGCTCGGCTTCCTGGTTTTCCTTTATGTTGTGGTTGTCCCGAGTCTTGTACACAAACTTTTGTAGCATTTACCATGATTTCATTCAGTCATCGACGGCTTTGTTCTAAGAACCGGACACTTTGTCCAGCTGCCACGAGAAAAAGGCGCTCGGCTTCCGTGCTCCAAGGGAGACGTGGGCCTGGCTCTCCTCCCGGGAGCTCTGCTTCTCTGGGGACCTGCCCCTGTTTGTCATGCAGCTGAGCATGGCAGCTGGCAGACCGTCTCCAACTAGGACAGAGCTGATCGCCGGCCTGCACTGCATGCTCTTTTTTTTTTTAAATTTTTATTAATGAGACACCATGAGGTACAGTTGTAGACTTACAAATTTTTGTGTTTGGATTTCAACTATACAATGATCAAATACCCACCCATCCACCAGTGCCCATTTCCCACCGCCACGGATCCCAGCATCCCTCCCACCCCCATCCCCCCCATCCCACCCTGCCTCTGTGGCAGGGCATTCCCTTTTGTTCTCTCTCTCCATGCTCTTAAAGCTTAAAGCTCTCTCCCTCTCTCCCTCCCTCCTTCCCTCTCTCTCTCTCTCTTCTCTTTCTCCCTCCCTCATTTTCTCCCTCCCTCTCTCTTTCTCTCCCTCTTTCTCTGTCTCTCTGTCTCTGTCTGTCTCTTTGTTTCTGTCTCTGTCTCTGTCTCTGTCTCTCTCTCTCTCCCCTCTCTCCTCTTGTCTCTCCCCCACCCCGACCCGATGTGCTCTTACTAGTTTTTTGAACACCATCCCAAGATCCAAGTGAAACAGAGGTTTAAACCTGTTTGGAAACAGACTGACGTGAGCCTCCCTCAAACCACACATCCCTGGGCCCATCCATCCTAGGGGATAAGATGATGTAACAAAAGGCCCTCGAATCACAGTGGAGTGTGACAGAATCTGGTTTCGCTCAGGACTGCCCAGCAGTGAGCTGTGAAGACTCATGGGGGTGGCGGGGGCGGGGGGAGGGCGCTCGGGGGTCCTTGGCAGGGGATTTCCAGCAGCTGTGCTGGGTGCCACCGTTTCTCCACCATCACAAAGGGGCAAAGGCAGATGGAGACCAAGCAGGCGCTTTGTCAGGCGACAGCCCAGCAGGACGGGCACATGTCAATCCTCATCACTTATTAGCTGGGACTTGGGCACGTGCTCGGTGGGGTGCAGGGACCAGTGCAG